AAAAGGACACTCAGAAATTACCATTTGGGAAACATGGTCTGTCCAGTTTGGGTTCAGATCACATTACTTTTAGCAATTTTAGAGCCTTCTGAATTGTAATGAATAATGGGAAAAGATTTACTGCAATATATTAAAAATGTAATTGGATTTTAAGTTCAAGTACATTCATTTTTTTTTTCTACTCAAAACACATTAAAGTAAGCATGCCTATTTGTTTTCCTCATGATAAAGAAATAAAATCCTCAAGGCAATTTCAAGCTGACTATTAATTATAAGTGACATGAATTACCATCTTATAATGTGGAATTATGCCTCACAGCATTAAAGCTACTTAAGGAACCTAATTGTCAGCACACTTAAAAGGAATTTATTTTCTGGAAAACACACAGGTGATCCTCATTTTAATTAGGTCACACACATAAGTCACTGACACCAATTATGTATTTCTAACTACAAACAGCAAACACGTTTCCTCAAATTCTGAGACTACCTACAGCAACGGATCTATACAAATGCTTCCAATGAAAACAGAGCTTAGTTCAGCAGTCAGGCCTGCCACCTTGGCATATACTTTCAAGAACAAGGACTTCTAGCCTGGCCAGTGTGGCTCAGTGGTTGAGTGTTGACCTGTGAACCAGGAGGGAGGTCATGGTGAGATTCCAGGTTGGACACATGACCTGGTTGCCACCTCCATCACCAGTGGGGGGTGTGCAGGAGGCAGCCAATCAATGATTCTCTCTCATCATTGATGTGTCCATCTCTCCCTTTCTCTTCCTCTCTGAAATCAAGAAAAAATGATATATATATTTTAAAAGGACATCTAATAGGACATTTTCCCTATAAAATTCTTAAAGGAAAAACCTCTCCCTTCTGATAAAAGGAATAAACAGTCCCCTGTAGAAGTGAGTGCAAGCATGCCAAAGTGCCCCAAGTTAAAACAAATGTGACCATTCACTGCCACTGTTTTGGTGTTTCACACCTTGGCTGTGGTTTCACTAGTCGGTATAGTAAAAAGGGCTGGTTCTATTGCAGGAAACCTTTTTCCTTTCAAGACACTCACCTGCGACTTCGGCTGCCTCCTCTATTTACAGGTCTTTCCATTTCGGAGTCGTTGTCATTGTCCTCTGCCTCATCTGATTCCTCCTCATTGTCGTCGGAATGCAGATCTTTCATTATAGACCTTAAAGGACCTGAGTAATGACAGAGAACCACAGGCAATCGAACATGCTACTTCAAACACACTTAGCCATATTAGACGCGGGGGAATGCTCACCAGAACTGAACACTGGTTAAAAATAACCATCGCCATATATATTTATACAATTTACAAGACAAATTTAGTAGTTTCTGGAATGAAACCCCTGCCAAAACACTACCGTTTTCATAATAGATGCCCTCCATGTTCACTAGAAAAACTCTATTTCCTACGAATGTTTTTCTATGTATTTTCCTTCCCTTAAAAAAAATAATTCCCCTAAAAAGAAACAGAAAGATCTATTAGTAAATTGAATATTTTGTTAGGTTAATCCATGTATTGAAAAGTTGAGACTAATAAATCACCGTGGTTGTAACTTCTTCTTGGCAATGCTGCCTTTGTGTGGTAGTTTTTGATCTATTAAGGTTTAGCTGTTCCTTTTATTTCAAGGTCAATTCCAGGTCAAGCAAGCATTTCAGTCAAGTTCAGATTATAAAGTATTTCAATTCCAGGGTGTAATGTCCTATCTCTGATCTTCATATTGATCTTGGGCACAAGGTCTAGTTACAACAATTTTGTGCAGCCAATTTTTAATCTAACTTTTAAAGAAATTCCTGGCAAAATACCAGTATATATTTACATGAATAAAACTATGTAATGAATCAGGTGCCCAGAAAATTCAAGAGAGTATCTAGTATTAGACTGAAGAAAAAGAAATCAAGTCATATCTCATTTTATTCTAGAATAGAACAAAACAAAATAAACCCATAGAAAAACTCATTAGTGTGGCTTATTTTAATTTTACTACCCTACATGTAATGAACACACGATAGATACTTTTAATCATAACTGAAGAGATTGTAAAGAGAGGCACTTCCATTCTGGATTAGGCAAGTCCTAAAGCCTAATCAAATACAAATATCTGAGCTACCACTAACTCAGCTCTAAAATAAGTCCTGACACCACCATCTCACATTCTTCAAAGCCCAAAGTTCTCTGCTTTTGTGCTGGGCTTATACCTTTGGAAGTCAGTGGGACAAGAAGTCTGAATAGGCCCAGTGACCAGTGTCTTTTACTTTTTCCTGGAAGCTTAGCCTTAGCCCAAACACATACAACAATTTAATCCCTTTCAAAACACACAAGGCCATCAGGAATTCCGTGAGGTCAATGGGAAAGGCAATGTACAACATGATGCTTAGAAACAAATTATTCCTTGATATAACTTCACGTTTCATGTTTAAATTTTTTTAAAAGGGACCCCACATTTGAAGATTTTCCATACATGAGAGTGAAAAACATATTCAACGTTCTGTTTTACATTTCTTTTTAAAATGTCTTAACATTTAAATTTCTGAGTTTGAATAACAAAAATATATATATAGGGCGTCCCAAAAATGTATATACACTTTGAATAATCGTAAAGGCAGTGTTTATTTAAATACATTTCATTTTCAAAATGTAATAGAATTTATAGACATAGTGTGTATATATTTTGGGGGACACCGTGTGTGTGTGTGTGTATTATTCAACAAATTAGCACTTGCCAAAGAAAAAGGTTTATTAATCTGTAGAAAAATAAACAAGTAAAATGAAAGATGTCCAGGAGGAAGAGTAAAGAGCGCTTTCTCTATGTCAAAGCCTTCAAGTCCAGCTTTTGCTATCACATTTCCGCTGGGAAGTCCCTGGAATGGGCTGTGTCTATAATCCTTTTGTAAAATGGGACTCTGATGGCAGGGACTGGAGAAAGGGGAATTTCTGGAGGCTGGCCTCATGCATCAGAACAATACTCAAGTGCATTCCTAGGGGAAATAAATACGACTACATAAAAGCCAAGTTATCATTCAAATAATAAAACAGTAGAAAATGGGCCATAAATCAACTCATTAAGATGTCTTATGAGAAAAAATGTCTCGTTGTTTGCCTGGGAGATGCTGATACCTTGTTGCCTCGTCTGGGACGGCGTGAAGCTGGAGCTGGAGCTGGAGCTGGAACTGGCAGGACTGGGCTGTTCAGACTTTAAAGAAGAGAAAGGCATGATCAATATATTTATGGGATGCCACATATCTAGTATTGAAAATAATATTGTTGCTCAAAAATATTGTGTTCTGCAAAAGCAGCCCGACACTGCACAAGAAAAATGACAACATATTGCGTTATGTCAAATGCACTAACCCAGGAGAATCAGGTGTCCTTTCATTTTGACCACCATATTTTACTAGATGCAGCAACAAGAAAATAAACTCAAGGATAAAGAGATAAACACCTGGGCATTACATGAGGAAAGAACCTGGCTTTGATGTCACTCCAATGTTTACTACTATCCAGATCTCTTTCTAAAAGATACCATGATTACCCTTTCTGCAATGTTTGATTGACTCATGTGGTTAAAACACAGTGGTAATGAGGCCAAGGTCATTAGTTCAATCACATTATGAGCCAGTTAATTTCACTCTGGTCCAAGACCATGACCCAAGCCTAACCCCATTCATCCACAGTTCACAAACGGAGGCCAATGTTCACAAGGAGACCTGGCCAAGTCCCGCCAATGAGTCAGGAGGGAAATGTTGCCACGTCTTAAGAAAACAACCCTTTAATTCCACACAGCCTATTGATGCAGGGAAATTGCAACAAACACAAACCTCATCCTTTCACTCTAGTGAATTCTCCTCATCCTTTAACATCAGAACAAGGGCCACATCCTCCTTGATCCACCCAAGGACTGGTAACTCCGAGTTCTCTTCCGCCTCCACCCACACTGAAAATACGGACCATTCTGTGCTCATCAGATATGCTGCAGTATGATGCTACTTCTGATGTGTGTCATTTCTCTCCAGTAGATTGCTAGCACTTGAAAAATTTGGGGTGGGGGTTTTGTCCTGTGCTTCTTGTTAACCCTCATACTCAGCATTATGTATTGCATATAGCAAGCCCTCTGTATCTGTGACTGAAAGCAGCACACTAGGCCCTCTGCCCCACCATATGCCAGGAAGGATGGGAAGAGCAAATACCTCTTCAGAATTATGCAAAGAAATAGATCATACCATCAACACATTTTAAACGTATATATGTAAGGCCAAATTTATTTTAGGATACCTTGATAAGGTTGATAAATCTGGTTGTGTGGGCTATTTATATCCCATTTCTAGTGACCCCACAGTCTCAACTCCACGCTCAGGTTATTTAAGAAATATTGGAGGTATGCTCATGCACAAGAGACATCTTTTTACTTCGCTCCATAGGTGACCAAGTTTATCAACGTCATATGGAAGACAAATTAAGAGCACAATCAGAAGCCACTGAATGAGGATGAAAATCTCAGGTCTGTTTATACGGCAATGTCTCACCACTGATTTTTCTCATCTCCCCTCCCGGCACTGAACCCCCACCCGCTCCGCTCCAAGCAACACCAAACTCGCAGACTGCGACACAAGGAAGCACTTTCAGGCATTCCTAACGCACACTTCACATCCTCGGGCTGGATGGGAAAACAGGTGTCAGCAATCTACCCCTCACACTGCAGGAAAAGAGCCAGACAGGATCTCTAATGAGCAGCAGGCGGCCCACCAACCCATCACCATGGCAAGATTTCCTTGATATTTGCAGTACAACGTCCTGCACGTTGTTGTTTGTGGCCCACAGAGAAGCGCCGGTTTACAAGTACACACGCCTGTGCGAGGCGCCCTTCATGTCTGTCGAGTGGCTCTTCCACTGTGAGGCATCACGGAGAGTTACACAGCTGAAAGGGCGTCCAGTTAGCATTTATGTGCAATGGCCAGCTGCAAAACATTTCTGTCTTGGTCTGCACAGTACTCCTTGCCCTCGCCAAGCTACTCTTTTCAGCCATGAAAAGTGTCCGCACACGGTATTATTTTGTTGATAGCTCTGGAAACCATTTGGGTGCCAAGAAAGAGGTTTCCTTCGAGTGAGGGGAGAGAGCTGATTCCCCATCCTGTCTGAACAGCACGCGTTGCACTGGACTTAAAGGAGCCACTCTGCCAGCGCTGTTTGCTAGGAGTGACAGTGATGAGGATAGCAAGAGAGGATGGTGGCCATCTCTCCAACTACCCCACGCTAAACTTGAACCATCTGTCTCAGCATCATGCCCGTGCCAGAACCAAACCTGCAGGCAGCCTTCTTTTAGCTTCTTAACCATCAACAAGGTTAATAATTTCACAGTTGCTAACCATTAGAAAACCGACAACGAGTAAAAAACATAATACGACGGGGGGGGGAAAGGCTTTTTAAATTCAACATTTTCCATTAACACTCTGCCTCATCCACAAAGCATCTGAGGAGGGTTATAGCAGAAGACACATTTTAAACAATGAAACTATTAAAGTAGAAAGCTTAATACAACAGAAGTGGATAGAGAAGGATAAAATGTTGACTGGTAAACAGCAAATGTCCTGGAAGCTTTTTACAACCAGGATAAGGACTCGTGAAATTTTGGGCCTGCGGAGACCTTTGATGGAGGAAGTGATTCTCTCCCATGGGCACTGAATCTTCTGCCGGACTTGTGAGCCTTCAGCACGCCACCCCAGAGCTTCCTTTAAAAGTCTGAGATGGGGGTGAGAACCTGAAGTTCTTACAAGTTCCCGGGTGAGGTTGATGCTGCTGTTCTGTGGACTTGAGAGAATACTGATCAAATTCATAGCCATGAATACCCGTCAGAATCAGGTGGAGGGATTCTGTACATCAAGAGATTCTGATTCAATAGGTTTAGTGTGTGTGTGTGGGGGGGGGGGGGGGGGGGGGGGGGTGCAGGCATGTTTATATTTTAAAAGCTTAAAAATTATGTGAAAAATCCAGATTGAACACCATTCATACTAGGTTAACCACACATTTTTTTCTAAAGCCAAAACAAACTGTTTTTGAATATATCTTCAATTTAAGATGGCATAAAAGGGAAAAAAGCATCATGAGAATAATTGGAAACATTGATTTATCCAGAGTTAGCATCCCTGCACACTCTTCAAAGCATTTTGCAAGAAAGCACCTTGACAGAATACAGCTAACACTCAACAAAAACGTTTATAAAGCATGTACAATCGTGTCCTGGTGGACAGACTTCAAACTAACCTGAAAGACCAGGAGAGAATTCAACAAGATGTTAACTGCTCAAAAAAGCCATTCTGCTCCTAGATGAGGCTGACACAGTCTTACATTTGATCAGTCCAACAAAACGGAGCTGTAGCTTGCTTACGTCTGTATTTTATTTTGTAAAAAATCGAATTTACCCTCCAAAAACACAAATCCAGGATGATTATATAAACTAGGAAAAGCTATTGGGTTTTACAAAATCCTATATAATAAAAGTCTAATATGCAAATTGTCCCCTTGACTGCGAGTTCAACCAGGAGTTCAACCTCTTGCTATTACATGTGCTGATCACCAGGGGGAGGCGCAGAACACCCTGGCAGTGGGCAGCAGTGGTGGGATGGTGGAGCAGGTGAGTGGGTGGAGCCAGGCCAAGGTGGGTGTGAGCAGGGGCCCGGCTGCCTCACCCACCGCCCCCACAGATGGCTACCAGTGGTGGGGGCCCAATAACTCATGCAGACATGGGCGTACCGGGGCCCATGGAGCCAAGTGCTGCCCAGGGCCCAGAGGTCAGCTGGGACCTGCCCTTCCATGCCAGATGCTCGTGCTTTGATGGCTGGCCAGGTCTAGGGATCGCACCCGTGCACAAATTTCGTACACTGAGCCTTGATAGTATTCACATAAACAGGGCTAGATTAAGATCTTCATAGGCCCTCAGGATTGAAATGATGATGGTACCCTCCTTGCCCTATGTGTGTATGTGCCAAAACCGAAGTGTGGGGAATTTCAATGAAGTTCTGACTTCCCCCCTAATTTGATACATGCTTTTGGAATATCAAAATTCTCCCCACTAAAAAAATGTTTTGTATCTTCTTGCTGATGCCCTAAAGCACATGCACAACTGACCTTCTGAGTAATCAAACACTAGACATGAAGTTTCTTGAGTGGTGTACCCAAGTGATAAAAGTATAGTACCACCGATAAGGGTTTAATTTCCAACATTTACAGGGATCTCATGAAACTTAACAAAAGAAAGATAAACAATCCAATAAAAAAAAATGGGCAACGGACCTAGATAGACACTTTTCGAAAGAGGACATACAGAAGGCCGAAAGACATATGAAAACCTGCTCAAAGTCACTAATTATACGAGAGATG